CTCCTGAAGCTGCAGTGGCTGCTGGATAACTACGAGACAGCAGAAGGGGTCAGCCTGCCCAGGAGCTCCCTGTACAACCATTACCTGCGGCACTGCCAGGAGCACAAACTGGACCCGGTCAACGCCGCCTCCTTCGGGAAACTCATCCGCTCCGTCTTCATGGGGCTCAGGACGCGGCGCCTSGGGACCAGGTGGGTGCCAAATGTCACCAAAGGGAAGACTTGGATCACTCAATACGAGTTATAAGCCAACTTCGATTTATTGCTGTCGCGGTTTTGACTGTGCTGAAAATTAAAAAGCACTGCACCCAACGACGTTCTCTCCCTTCCCCCAGCGGAGAGAGAGAAGGGAGAGCGAAAGACCAATTAACACGAGAATTTATGGCTTTGGGAGAAAAGATACGTATGTGCTCCAGAGAAACACAATTGGGAGAAAAGATACGTATGTGCTCCAGAGAAACATAATTGGGAGAAAAGATATGTATGTGATCCAGAGAAACATAATTGGGAGAAAAGATACGTATGTGCTCCAGAGAAATATAATTGGGAGAAAAGATACGTATGTGCTCCAGAGAAACACAATTGGGAGAAAAGATACGTATGTGCTCCAGAGAAACACAATTGGGAGAAAAGATACGTATGTGCTCCAGAGAAAATAGGCAGGCAGGCTGCATAACTTAAGTTGATTTCAGCGGCGTGAGTCCGACTATCACAAACCTCCCTGGCAAAGCACAGCTTCTTCCAAACATCAAAACGTCGTGGGGGAAGCAAACCTCTTCTCCTTTTCTTGGCTTCTAATCAAATCAATCCATTCCTCAAAAGACCAGGGTTTTTTTTTTCCTCCCAGCAAGATCGCTTTACTTTTCTATACAGGTCTCTCTCTCAATATGATGAAATAGTCCTTTCCAAAAACAACTTATCTTCTCCATGTTCAAGAACCGCAGCAAAAAGCACAGCAAGCCCATCCCATCTTCTCCTTACTGTTCTGTGATCTTTAGGTCTCCATTTTTCTTCTTACATCTCCTCATCCTCCTGCTCTGTTTTTCCCAGTGCAAGATACTAAAACTACATGCTATCAACCTAAGCTTACATGGCGGCCACCTATCTTGTTTTGAATTCTTTTCTTAAATACTAGATAATACTTCATCACAGAGTGTGCAATTGGCCCAGGCCTGATGGGCAGCCTGTCAATCAACCCAGAGCCAATGATGGATTGGCTCTAAAACACAGGAGGCAGGGCTACTTTTGTTGCAGAAGAAGGAGAAAGCTTCTAGAACTTCCTCACAGGAGCCATCTTTGTGGTTTTCTTGGTCCCATCCCCCACCACCAAAAATCAGACCAAGTAAAACCATGACAATTGCAAACMATGTCTAAGTTTATAGCACACATAATTGGCTCATAGATATTCTGTAATACATATATCTCATAGGTCCACGTCCTAAACGTCAGCTCCATCTTTAATGATTCACTTGCCTTTTTCCCTTATCTACTTCTACTTTTTCCCAGGGCTAACCAACACAAGTATCTTGTAGGGAGTTTTCAGCAGCTTAAAACTGTGATGTCCTTGCATTGCCTTCCCACTGCTTCAGAACAATTGTTCACACAATCTCAGCAGAGTGTGATACCTGTATCCCTCCATCTCACCAAGCTGCAACATGTCTA